TAATTTCTGCCCCTTCTACGAGATCATATTTATTTTTAAAATCTTCTACGATATTATTAAACGTACTGCTATCAGAATTTAGACACAACGTTGTTAATAAATCACTTTGAATTTCCGGAATAAAAACATGTACTAAAAACGTAAAAAACAACACTTTTAAAGCATTTAATTTCATCGTACGCAGGTGATGTCGGATCAGAAAAAATGTATATCTACCCCGAATATAATTGATGTTACTCTAATTTACCATAAGTGTTCCTGTTTCAGTTGGTTTGTTACTAGTGGTATCGAACAACACTTTTTGAATACTCTAATACTTATAATATTAATTTAAGAGCGGTAATGATTTTTACTGTTCAAATAATTTGGTACTTATTCTGAAAGATATTTTTTCAACTTGTAAATACTTGTTATAGGTGCAGTTAGTATGTTACTGGTATAATAATGCTTGTAATTTTAACTAACTTAAAATGATTTATGAGCAAGAATGTCAGGCTGTTTAGAGCAATCATAGATTATATATTTTCTAAGTTCCTGATATTTCTTACGTCAAAACACAGAATTATTACAATAATATGTTTAATCAAGTGTTCAAAAGTGTGTTGTTCGNATGGCTACACGTATATACGATTTAAAATATATTCTATTCAGAGTAATGACACATATTATCTGGTTCTACAACACCAGCGTACAATGAACTTAAATGCATTAAAATTTATGTTTTATACGTTAGTATTGCATGCTATTGTTCCTACAATTTTAAATAGTTAAAAAAATCGTCAGATTGCCTGATTTTAGAAATTTATAGGAACGTAAGCCACTCTGGTTCGGTCAGCTGTGTTTGATGCCCGACCTGAGCGCACAGCTGACGACCCGCCTAGTATGATTTTCGTCAAACTAGCACCGAGGGCTGAAGACCGGAGTTCTAGCATTTTTCAGAGGAGGGAAGGGAAAAAAGGAGAATTTTAATAAATAATATCGTGTTTTTTCGGGGGAAAATATTGAGGTTAATATTTTATTAATTTATCAATCAAAATAATTTTTACTTTGACTACTACTTTTACTTACTTAAGATTCTGAAATTGACATATATATAGGACATATATAAATAAATATCTACAAACAATTTTTGTTTTAAATTACCCGTACATTAACTGAGGCATCAACCATTCGTAAAAGTGTTGATAGGTACATAATGGTGAACGTGCAGGTCGAGACATAATATTTATTGGAAGGGACGAATCCACATCCACGTGTGTGTGGGTTTAGACCAGGATAAACCCCTACGTGGAACGTTCGTAGGCTCCTTATGTATTGTGGAGATCCTGGCAGGACTGTGCGGTTGTCAAGTCTCACAGATAACCGCCGGGAAGAGTGGCCGAAACGATTATTGTTCCATTTTGACTGGTCTGTAGATTCGGTGGCCCTACGGATGAACTTGCGGGCTGCGTCCGAATCTGGATTGTGAAATGGGGAAAATCGATCTATATATTTATTTATTTTATTCTTATATGCTCACACACGTGGATGCGAAACCTAGCACTTAGAGGGGATGAAAAATAAGAGAAAACAACAAAATACGGGGTTGATTGGCCTATCGCACTTAGGATACGGAACGCGGGGATAAGCATAGTGAGACGGACACACAAATCTAGCTGGTTGTTGTCATAGTATTTTAGAAGTATTTAACATAAAAAGACAGATTTGTATAAACATATTCATACGGAGAAACCTTAATTAAATAACCTTAAAACTAATTAACTAACTTATGGGGTTTTCGGCCAATTACTAATTCATACACATATTGCCATCGTTCTACCGAAGATGTCCGCCCAGCGGACCAGATCGGGACTCACTTCATTGATTCGTTCGAGGCACCATCATGAATCATGCCAAGGTACACAACCTTTCCTTGGCCACAAAAATTGGTGAATCCCTGTAATACACGGGGTTATTTGATTTAAAGAACTGTATCTAGAGACCGTCTGGTGACAAAAATCTCGAGACGAGGTCTAGACATGAAGAAGGTAAAGAACGCACAGAACAACTGGGTAGCGGAGCGCGGAGACGCTCGTTGCATGTCCCCACGGGTCGACGTTTTTGGCGATAAGGAGAAACGTGATAAAATGATGTGATTGGCCGTTAATCCGTAGTCAGAAATATAACATTATTGCGAAATGAAACATATTTCGATCGTATAAACCTTTGCGCGGGAGGAATTATTGTTCATGATGAATTAACATATCCGTCGTTGGTAGCTATGCTTGTCTTTTGATAACGGGAAATAGTCGTTTTTGGGCGTTACCAGCGGTTTGTACATTTCTCCCGAGATGTTTGGATTTTACGTAAATAAGTGTCTATTCAATATCAAAAAAAATTTTATTGAGTAAAATTAATTTCATTCCTTGTCATACATTACTAACGTATTATATTAAATTTATCAATGCGAGCCCGGATGAAGAAATTATAAAATGGACAGAATTTCAACAGAATTATTTTACAAATGTCTTAATTTACCTTTATATGCTAATAAAAACGCTCAGTAGGAACCCCCCACCAACTTATTCCATACACTTTCTCATTTCTATAATAAAAAATATAGACAACAACGGTAGAATAGGTGTCGACGAATTAATTCATGAACAAAATGACGTTAGCATAATTAAAAGTATACACCGTTAATTTCTGAATATTACATCATCAAATTATAAACAAAAAAAAAATAATTTAATTTTGTAGTCCTTTAAAAAAAACCGTAGCATTAAACTTTAACATCGCATAAAATATATATGTTTATGGTTCATTATAGTTATTAAATTGTAACTATATTTAAGGATGATATGGATGAACACAATACACACGTTAAAAAGACATATTAATTGTTAATAATTTTAGTCAAAATATACAATAAATAGGATAGGAGTGTGATTTTTATTTCAGTAACATATGTGATCCTGTGTAATAATAATGTGATACTATATTTGTAGAAACAAAATTGAACACAGACCGTGCAACCAATGTCTGCAAAATGTGTGATTTCCCTAAATTGTTAAATAATGTTACAATTATCAAAATAATTACTATTTTGAGTAATAGGATATTATAACAATAAAACATTTTAATATTTCAAAAAAAAAATGTATTAATTTGTTAGCGTATACACTATCTCCTTGTGAAACAATATATATTATCTATTTATTATTTTCATGAATATATTGTTGGATTATTAACAATTAAATATTCAAATCAAAATTTTAAATTAGTATTTGTATTTAAGGGATAAAAAAAATTTATTTTTTTTTAAATCCAATGTCACTCTCGAAAACCAATTTAAAATATTTAATATAATTAACATTAAGAAAATCTGTGGAACATGATGGTATACTCAATATATATTACATCTCTATACGTGCTGCAGCTTTTAAAACAATATGTTGTTTTCCCTGTTATATATCTAGCTAAATATTTCGGTCGTTCTAGTTTACTTGATTTTTTCTTGGTTTTACGTCAATATTTTTTTAATTATGTCATCGTTTTGAGTTCAACCTTATGATAGAAATGCGATCAATTTTATATTTTGAAAATTCGTAACGATTCTCTTGTTCACCTATAAATCATTTTTCATTTACAATGATTTATTATTACACACAGTAGGTAGGCATACCATTTCGATTGTATTGTTTATACTATACCTCCCAAAATTCCCGCCTACAAAAGTGATTGCTTTTCAGTGATTAATTTCNTACACAAGTGATTGCTTCTCCGTGTTTATTTTCGAAATTTTGTTTTTATATAAAAAATAACGTGAATTTAATGTGAAACAAAAAGTTTAATGTATTAAAAAATTTCATAATATATAGAACGGTCAATAATTGTCAATTTTATCCATAGAAAGATCGTTTAGATAACCTACGATGTGATAAACTGACATATGTTTTTCCGTTCTATCGCGCCACGCGTGTGTCCCATACGATAGGTAAAAACGCCGTAATAACCAATAACTGAGTGGCACGAATTTGGCATAACATTGTTAGCAGTACTTTTCAAAAACATATCTACCAGAGAAACTTTTATCGTACTACCAATGTTTTCTCGCAGTGTTTCACCTATTTAGAGAAAATAATCAAAATACAAAATAATGATCGACAAAATTTTTCAATATAGAAAAACAATTATCTACATAATATAATAAAAAAATTTTACTACGTTTATTACTAAACTAGAACGAACTAATTGTTTGGAATTATGTATATGTATTGCTATTTAATGTTTGAATTATAATTTTAAATAAACCCAAATTTTAAAGTAAATACAAATAAATAAATATATATATCGCCAATTTTGCAATACTATATCATCAATTTATTAACAAACAAAAAATATTATACATTGTAATCGGTTACAAATAACCGTACCATTGTACATAAAATATACATATAAAAAATTTTTGTATTGTTCATTTAATTTTTTAAAATTGTTACTATATTTAAGGATGATATAGATGAACTCAATAAACACGTTAAAAGGACATATTAAATATGAACAATTTTTATCAAAATATATAATAAATATAAATTTATTAAATTCATAAAAAAAATTAATACTAGTTTCACACTAACTTTTCTATTGAAGTTTAAGGAAACCCATCAAAAGAGTCTTAACATTTGATTTATTTCCAGGTGAACTCGAACCAATAACTCCGTCTTTAGAACCGGCCTCTGTATATTCTTGCTGGTCTCTAACAACGCTCATAAGTTTGACGGCGGATTTAACATCAAATATATTTTCCGGACAGTACTGCGAGTACATAGTAGTAGCAGAATGGAATTCAAAATTTATGTCCATAGATTTCTCTACGATCGAAAAAAAAGTACTCATAAAGTCCATAGCATCCATGCAATTCCCGTTTATAAACGTGTTAAATTGTTTGTATCCTTCATCGTTGTTAGGAAGTTTAGTCTCGGACCATTCCAAAAAATTGTCTTTATCGTGCTCTGGAATGATGTCATTGAGACTTATATTCCCGCTGTCGTCAATATTTTGTATTCTATAAATGATAGTTTTTATGTCATCAGTTGGTTGTGGTTCATCCTGTGAATCTTTATCGGTGTATAAAGGTAAATACAGATATTTGTAAAATAATTTCGTCCCTTCGTTATGCCACCGAATACTATCTCGTATGCTTTGTAAAACATGAGATTCGACGGTAATGCCTGTGCGCTCTAAGTATAAATCTATAATTTTCGCGTAAATGTAAACGTAAGTATTCATTGTGCTGTCTAAATGGTTTACAACCACATTATGAAAATTCCCTACAGAGAAGGTGTTCAAACCCCACGGTAATGTAGCATAATACGCAACTGATAAACTCATATTTACGGTCTTTATATTTATATTTTTCGATTTTATATCATGCATACGGGTGTTTTGGGAACTTTCGGTAAGAACATATTTACCACTCAACCACTCGAAAGTGGTCCAAACACCCATTCCTTTGTGAAATTGTTTGATGGTATTGTGGATATTCTCCAAATAGTTCAAGTACAAAATTTTACAATTTTCGTTGGTTAAATATTTGTCTTCACTTTTTTTCGGGACCTCAATTGTGGTTATAAATATATTCCACGTCCAAATGTTTTTTACAGACTCCCGTATGCATTTATTCCGTTCGGCTTCGAGACTCTGACTTACTGCAGTACCGTTAAATGCACTAGTGCAACGGATATCAGTGTATTCCTTAAAGTCTGCGCAAAACGTCAAGTACAATCTGAATATTATCGAGTCGTCGTCAACCTCATTTTTGTTTAAATAGACTAGAATCAAAGAGATTTTCTGACACATTTTATTTAACGTGTCCATCAGAATGTACTTCTTACCCAGGTCTTTTTCGATTTTTTGTGAACGTTTCTTTGAACCGTTCAATAAAATATTTGTAAAATATTCTTTGAGTTTCTTTAATGTATAAAAAACAATGTGTTGCATTGTTTTGAGCTTTGACAAATCATGTGACTGAATTTTAAAACCGCATTTGTTCCGAAGTTCATTTGTATAATTTTTATTGAGTTCCAGAAAATGTACATTGTTTTCAGAATTTATTTGTATTTTATTGTCCCTGGTAATTACTTTAGTCACCTTGAATTTTATTTCGTTATTATGCGAATTATGTTCATTAAGATGCTGTTTTAGTTTACCGAGATTTTCACTCATGCATGATATAAAGTCGATATTACCAATGATCTCGTAAACTTTTGAAATAAAATTTAAACTTTCATTCTTGTAGTTCGGCTGCTCAAACAGATTGTCACTATTATTAGTCTTAATTTCTGTCATTGATACTATAGAGGCCAAATTTCTCTCAATTGTTTTATCAACAAATTTTTTATCGATATTATTTGGCGAGGCATTGATATATGTCTTGAAATAGGTTGGTAATGAATAACAAAGAACTATATGAATTTTATTTAACATAACTGTTATTGAATTCTGAAAGACATTTATATTGATAAAATCCAAACATCTTGGAAGAATTGAGCAGATCTTTAAAAAATAGTCCTCATACATAAGTCCACTTTCACTTCTTTTATCAAACATGTAGGCCATTTGCTGTAATATTAGAAATAAATCGATTTCAAATGTGATAAATTCTCCAGGTATTTTGCCGAAATGATTATTTTGATGCTGGGTAATTATCTCTGCCCCTTTTTTGAGATTATATTTTTTTTGAAATTCGTTTACGATATTATTAAACTTACTTCTTTCATTTGTTGATCCGAACGTTGTTGTAACTTTACTTGGAATGTCTGGAACAATAACATGCACTATCAACGTATAAAACACCAATTTTGTAGCATTAAATGCCATTGTACCCTTATAATGTGGGATGTGACAAAATGTGTACCTTATATGAAAATAAACATTTATAACTCGTTTATACGTATTTCCGTTTCCATTTAAGGTACTGGTATTATCGAACAAACATTTTTTTGAACACTTTAATATTTATGTTATATTGATTTAGGAGTACTAATGCTTTACAGATTAAAATATGTAGGTACCTGTTCCGAAATAAAATTTGTCATTTTGTATGTAAGTGTTATCGGTGCATTTAGTATGATACTAGCAAAATTATGCTGGTATCTATAACTAACTTTTAATGATTAACGGGCACTAAAGTAAGGCTGTAAAGAGCAATGATTAATTAAATATTTTCTATATTTCCCGGTATTCTTTACGTTACAAAGTCAATAAAATATATTTAATCAAGTGTTCAAAAAAATTGTTTATCGATATTACTATTATCATATTTTTGAAATGGGTACACGTATATACGATTTAAATTATTTTTTATTTAGAGTAGTTACATTTATTAGATTTTACAGAGTAGTTCTATTTCGGGTAGTTACACATTTTATCTTGTTGAATCTAATGAGAATTTATTGTGGAACAAAAAATTGATTGTAATAACAATATCTCATTTCATATTGAATGGTCAATGATTATCAATTTTACCTATAAAAAGAACGTTTATGTAACCTATGACCAAGTAAACAGACAAGTGAGCAATATACGTGCTTCCCTAATATCACGCCACTCATGTGTCCTATACTATAGGAAAAAAAGGCCGCATTAGCCAATAAAGGAGTTGCGCGAATGTGGCATTAAATTGTTAGCATAACTTTTCAAAATAAAATCCATCCTTGAAACGTCTACCAATATTTTCTCGCAGTGTTACAGCTATTTAGGGAACATAATCAAAATATAAAAAATAATCAACAACATTTTTCAACATAAAAAAACAATTATCGAATTACTAAAATAAAACACATCTTACAACGTTAATTAACTAAACCAGAACTAATTATTAGTGTTGTTAATAAAATGCGTTTTATTGTTTGAATATTAAAACCCAAAATTAAAAGTAAATACATATAATTAAAATAATAAACCGTTAATTTCTCAATACTATATTACGAATCTATAAACAAAGAAAATACAGTAAAATTTTTGTGGTCGTTTACAAATAACTGTAGCATACAACATTAATTTCGCATGAAAAAAATATTTTAATCGATCATAAAATTTTTACAATTGTAACTATATTAAAATATGATATAGATGAGCTCAATAAATAGGTTAACCGAACATAATAAATATTATTAATTTTTATCAAGATATACAATAAATATAAATTTGTAAAATCATAAAAAATAAATTCAACACTTCGTTCACATAAATGTTTCTATTGAATTTTAAATGGACCTATCTGAAAAGACTTATTATCTGATTTATTTCCAGGTGAACTCGAACCAATGACTACGCTTTTAGAAACGGCCGCTGTATTTCATTTCTGATCTCAAACTACTCTTATAGACTTTTGGTCGGATTTCACATCAAATATTTTTTCCGCACAGTACTCGGAGTACATAGTATCAGCAGAATGTAATTTCAAATAAATGTCCATAGACTTCTCTGCGATCCTAAAATATGTACACATGTAGTCCATAGCGTCCATACAATTCTCATTTATTACGTTGTTAAAGTCTGTGTAGCCATCATCGTTGTTTGGGAGATTAGTTTCAGACAATAACAAAATAGCGTTTTTTTCGTGCTGAGGAATGATGTCGTCAANTGTGAAACAAAAAGTTTATTGTAACAATAAAATCTCATATTATATTGAATGGTCAATGATTGTCAATTTTATCCATAGAAATATAGTTTATGTAACCTACGATTTAGTAAACTGACTTCTCGGGCAACATAAGTGTTTCTCTAATATCGCGCCACCCATGTGTCCCATGCTATGGAAAAAAACTCCGCATTAGCCAATAATCGATTTGCACGATTGTGGCATTAAATTGTTAGCAGAACTTTTCAAAATAAAATACACCAGTGAAAGGTTTACCAATGTTTTCTCGCAGTGTTGCAGCTATTTAGAAAACATAATCAAAATATAAAAAATATTTGACAACTTTTTTTAACATAAAAAACAATTATCGAATTACTAAAATAAAACACTTCTTACTAGGTTTATTAACTAAACCAGAACTAATTAATAGTGTTGTTAATAAAATGCGTTTTATTGTTAGAATAATAAAACCCAAAATTAAATGTAAATACGTTTAATTAAAATTATAAACCGCTAATTTCGCAAAACTATATCACGAATCTAGAAACAAAGAAAATACAGTAAAATTTTTGTGGTCGTTTACAAATAACTGTAGCATTCAACATTAATTTGGAATGAAACAATTATTTTAATCAATCATTAAATTTTTTAAATTGTACCTATATTAAGGATGATATAGATGAGCTCAATAAATAGTTTAACTGGACATAATAAATATTAATAATTTTTATCAAAATACACAATAAATATAAATTTGTAAAATCTTAAAAAATAAATTCAACACTACGTTCACATAAATGTTTCTATTGAATTATAAGTGGACCTATCAAAAAAGATTTAACTTCTGATTTATTTCCAGGTGTACACGAACCAATGATTACGGTTTTAGAACCGGCCTCTGTATTTCATTTCTGGTCTCAAACTACTCTTATAGGATTTTGGTCGGATTTTACATCAAATATATTTTTCGGACAGAACTCTGAGTACATAGTAGCAGCAGAATGGAATTCAAAATATATATTCATAGACTTCTCTGCGATCCAAAAAAAAGAACACATGTAGTCCATAGCGTCCATACAATTCTCATTTATTAATGTGTTAAATTGTTTGTAGCCATCATCGTTGTTTTGGAGATAAGGTTCGGACCATACCAAAATATCGTCTTTTTCGTTTTGAGGAATGATGTCGTCAAAACTTATATTACCGCTGTCATCTATATTTTTTATTCTATTAATGATAGTTTTAATCTCATCAGATGGTTGTGGTTTATTCTGTGCGTCTTTATCGGTGTATAAGGGTAAATAAAGATATTTATAAAATAATTCCGTCCCGTCGGTATACCACCGAACACTATTTCGTATTCTTTGTAAAACACGGGAATCAATGCTAATACTTGTGCGCTCTAAGTACAAATGTATGATTATTGCGTATATGTAAACGAAAGTATTCATTGTTCTGTCTACATGGTTTACAATCACATTATGGAAAGTCCCTATAGTGTACGTGTTCAAACCCCATGGTAATATAGCATAGTACCCAACTGATAAACTCATATTTACGTTTTTAATAGTTATATATTTTGATTTTAAATCGTACATTATTGGGTTTTCAATATTTTCGGCAAGAAAATATTTACCACTCAACCACACAAAGTTGGCCCACCTGCCAAATTCGTTGTAAAATTTTCTAATAGTATTGTTGATATTTACTAAATAATTCAAGTACAAATTTTTACAGTTTTCGTTTTTTGAATGCTTGTCTTCTTTTTTTTTCGGGACCTCCGTGGTTGTTATTAATATATTCCACATCCAAATATTTTTCACTGTTTCCCGTATACATATTATCTTCTCGGCTTCGAGATTCTTAACAGCTGCAGTACCTCGAAAAGCACTGGTGCAACGGACATCAGTGTATCCCTTGAAGTCCCCGCAAAACGACAAATAGGTGCTGAACATTATAGTGTCGTCGTTTACTTCATTTTCTTTTAGATAGACAAGAATTAAAGACATTTTATGGCATATTTCTTGTAACATGTCCATCATATCATTCGTGTTCTTTAAGTCTTTTTCGGTTGCTTTTGAAAGTGTCTTTGTACTATTCAATATAGTATTTGTACAATATTGTTGGAGTTTCTTTAATGTATAAAAAACAATTTCTTGTATAGTATCGAGCTCTGACAAATCTTTTGACCGAATGTCAACATATGATAAACCGCATTCGTTCCGAAGATTATTTGTATACTTTATATTGAGTTTCCGAAAATGCATACTGATTTCAGAATTTATTTGTTTATCATTGTCTCTAGTACTCACTTTAATCACCTTGAATTTTATTTTCTTAGTATTCGAATTATGTTCCATATAATGCTGCTTTATAATACCGATATTTTTACTTATACATGATATAAAATCGATATTTCCAATGATCTTATAAACATTTGAAATAAAATTCTGACTGTCCATCTTGTAGTTTTGTTGGTCAAACAGGTTTTTATCTTTTTTTGTTTTATCTTTTGTCATTGATACTATATAGGATAAATTATTTTCAATTGTCTCAATAAAACGTTCACTTTCTATATGATCCGGTAACGCATTGATATGTGTTCCCAGATATGTAGGTAATGAATAACATAGAACTATATGAATTTTGTTCAACAGAACTGTTATGGTATTCTGAAAGACATTAATATTGATAAAATCCAAACATCTCGGAAGATATGTACAAATCGTTATAAAATAGTCCGCGTGAATGAGTCTAGTTTCATTTCTTTTATCAAACACGTAGGCCATCTGCTGTAATATTAGAAGTAAATCGATTTCAAAAGTGATAAACTCTTGAGAGACTTTTCCGAATTTATCGTCCTGAGACTGATCAATAATTTCTGCCCCTTCTACGAGATCATATTTTGTTTTAAAATCTTCTACGAATTTTTTAAACTTACTTCTATCAGAATTTATTCCTAACGATGTTAAAACATCACTTTGAATATCTGGAATAATAACATGAACTATAAACGTATAAAACATCATTTTTAAAGCACTTAATTTCATCGTACGCTGGTGATGTAGGATCAGAAAAAATGTATACCTATTCTGAGTGAAAATTTTGTAATTCCAATTTATCACACGTGTTCCTGCTTCAGTTGGTTTTAAACTAGTTGTATCGAGCAACACTTTTTGAATACTCTATCAATTTATAATATTAATTTAAGAGCGGTAATGCTATTTACTGATAAAATATGTAGGTACTTATTCTGAAAGATATTTTTTTAACTTATATATACTTGTTATAGGTGCAGTTAGTATGTTACTGGCATAATAATGCTTGTAATTATAACTAACTTATAATGATTTATGAGCACGAATGTCGGGCTGTTTAGAGCAATCATAGATTATATATTTTCTACGTTCTCGATATTCCTTACGTACATAACACAGTATTATTATAATAATATGTTTAATCAAGTGTTCAAATGAGTGTTTTTCGATATTACTTGTATCTTATTAATTGAAATGGGTACACGTAAATACGATTTAAAAAAAAAATTATATTCAGAGTAGTGACACATATTATCTGATTCTACAAAACCAGCGTACAATGAACTTAAATGCAATAAAATATATGTTTTATATGTTAGAAGTGCATGTTATTGTTCTAGCAATTTTAAATAGATTAACAATGTTCTGATTGCCTGATTATAGAAGTCAGTATAATTTAATATTGAAAATGACGTTAACATAATTAAAATTATACACCGTTAACTTCTGAAAATTCCATCATCAAATTATAAACAAAAAGAAAATATAATTTAATTATGTATCCTTTTACAAAAAACCGTAGCATTATACTTTAACATCGCATAAAATATATATTTTTATGGTTCATTATAGTTATAAAACTGTAACTATATTTAAGGATGATATGAATGAACTCAATAAACACGTTAAAAAGATATATTAATTGTTAATAATCTTTGTCAAATTATAAAATAAATAGGATAGGAGTGTGATTTTAATTTCAGTAACATATGTGATCCTGTGTTATAATAATTTGATTCTCTATTTATAGAAACAAATTTTTGAAAGTGTTGAAGATGAGATGATATTCAACAATATTCTGGACACCATACAATTTCTGAAAATCAAAAACAAATAAGCAAATGGACTTCTAAAAGAAGGATGCGGTTCAAGAAAATCTGAATAGTTGTAACTATGCAAGAAATACTGTAGTCTACAATGTTTTCCTTTTGAAATTCAATATAAAAAAAGTCTGAGTGTTACTGCTTCTGTCCTCATTCCATTATGTAAATATACTATATGTGAACGGTCATGTGTTTATCATAAATATCATTACGGATTATTTATCCAAAATAAACTAAAAAAAAAAGAGAGAATTTAATTAAACTTCGTCTTCAAACGTCAAACTTTTAACCCAGAATACTAGAATCGCGATTAGCGTACTTTTGATTATATCGAACTTAATTGTTCATAGTTTTCACTAAGTTTCGATAAAATTAATTATCATCACTGAATTTAAGAACTATTTCTGGTTTATGTGATTAAAATTTGTTGGACCAAAAAAATACTCATAATTTTTAAAGTTAACACACTTTTGAACACTTGATTAAACATATTATTATAATAATACTGTGTTATGACGTAAGGAATATCGGGAACGCAGAAAATATATAATCTATGATTGCTCTAAACAGCCTGACATTCGTGCTCTTTAATCATTATAAGTTAGTTATAATTACAAGCATTATTATGCCAGTATCATACTAACTGCCTTTTTAACAAGTATTTACAAGTAGAAAAAAAATCATTCAGAATAGTACCTACATATTTTAACAGTATAAATCATTACCGCTATTAAATTAATATTATAAATTATTAGAGTATTCAAAAAGTGTTGTTCAAGACAACTAGTTCAATACTAACCGAAACAGAAACACGTAAGATAACTTGGAATTACAAAAGTTTCACACACAGTAGATACACATTTTTTCTGATCCGACATCACCAGCGTACAATGAAATTAAATGCTTTAAAAGTGTTGTTTTATACGTTCATATTACATGCTATCATTCCAGACATTCAAAGTGATGATTTAACAACGTTTGGTATTAATTCTGATAGCAGTACGTTTATTAAACTCGTAGAAGAATTTCAAAAAAAATATAATCTCGTAGATGGGGCAGAATTTATTTATTATTCTCAGGACGATAAATTCGGAAAGGTCTCTAAAGAGGTTATCACATTTGAGATCGATTTACTTCTAATATTACAACAGATGGCCTACGTGTTTAATGAAAGAAATGACACTAGACTCATTCACGCGGACTATTTTATAACAATCTGTACATATCTCCCGAGATGTTTGGATTTCATCAATATTAATGTAATTCAGAATTCAATAACAACTATGTTGAACAAAATTCATGTAGTTCTATGTTATTCATTACCAACATATCTGAAGACATATATCAATGCTTTACCGAATCATAGAGAAAGTGAACGTTTTAATGAGACAATTTCAAGTGATTTGTCAGATATATTATCAATGACAAAAGATAAAACACAAATAGACGAAATCCTGTTTCAGAAACCAAACTATAAGATGGACAGTCTGAATTTTATTACAGATGTTTACAAGGTCATTGGAAATATCGATTCTATATCATATATAAGAAGTAATCTCGGTAACATAAATCAGCATTATATGGAACATAATTCGAAAACTAAGGAAATAATATTCAAGGGGACAAAAGTAAGTACCAGAAACAATGAAAAACAAATCGATTCTGGAATCAATCTGCATTTTCTTGACCTCAATAGAAATTATACAAGTTTTCTTCGGGATGAATGCGGTTTTTTAACTGCTGACATTCAGTCAAGAGATTTTATGGAGCTGAAAATAATCCAAGAATTGGTTTTTTATACATTAAAGAAACTCCAACAATATTTTACAAATACTATATTAAATAGTACAAAGACGAATTCAAAAGTAAACGAAAATGACCTAAAGAACACGATTGATATTATGGACACGTTACAAGACATATGTCATAATATGTCTTTAATTCTTGTCTATTTAATAGAAAATGAGGTGAACGTCGACTCTATAATGTTCAGCACGTATTTGACGTTTTGCGGAGACTTCAAGGGATACAGTGATATCCGTTGCACCAGTGCATTTCACGGTACTTCATCCATTCAGGACCTCGAAAGCAAGAAGATTAATTGTATACAGGAAACGTTGAAAAACATTTGGTTGTGTAATATATTAAAAACAACAACTGACGTCCCCGAAAAAAATGAAGACAACAATTCAAATAACGAAAACTGTAAAAGTTTGTACTTTAATTATTTAGTAAATATCAACAATACTATCAGAAAATTTAACAAAGGAAGGGACGTGTGGACCACGTTTGAGTGGTTGAATGGTAAATATTTTCTTGCCGAAAATATCGAAAATGAACGTATGTACGATATAAAATCGGATTATATAAAGATTAAAACCGTAAATATGAGTTTATCAGTTGCGTATTATGCTATATTACCGTGGGGTTTGAACACGTTCTTTATAGGGAGTTTTCATAATGTGGTTGTACACCATTTAGACAGTACAATGAATAATTACGTTTACATATACACACTAATCATTCATTTATACTTAAATCGCACACGTACGAGCATCGGTTCTCATGTTATACAAAAAATACGAGATAGTGTTGGGTGGTATAACGAAGGGACGAAATTATTTTACAAATATCTCCACTTACCTTTATTCATCGATAAAGACCCTCAGAATGNTATAATTTATAGAATACAAAATATTCACGACAACGGTTATTTAAATATCAACAACATCATTCCTGATTTCGAAAAAAATCATTTTTTGGTATGGGCCGAAACTAATATCCCCAACAACGATGTTGGAAACAAACGAATTAACACGTTTTTGAATGGGAATTGTATGGACGCTATGGACTACATGAGTACTTTTTTGTCGATCGTTCAAAAGTCTATGGACACAAATTTCGAATTCCAGTCTGCTACTAATATGTACTCACAGTACTGTCCGGAGAATATATTTGATGATATATCCACCAAAAAGCCTATGAGCGTAGTTAAAAAGGAGCAAAGAAAAACAGAGTCAGGTTCTAAAAGTGTATTCTTTGGTTTTGGAAACAGCCGTTCTAGACGCAGAGTCATGGAATGAAATATTCAGAGTATTTTGATGGGTTTACCTAAACTTCAATAGAAAAATTTGCGTGAACCTAGTGTTGAAGTTTTTTTATGAATTTAACAAATTAATATTTATTATATTTTTGATAAAAATTATTCATATTTAATATGTCATCTTATTAAATTATTTTTTTTTGAGTTTAACCATATCATCCTTAAATATAGTTTCAATTTCATAAATTTAATGAGCGATAAAAATATTTTATTTTTCAAAGTAAATGTATAATGTTACGGTTATTTGTCAACGACTACAAAATGAAATGTACTATTTTTGTTTATTTATTGATGGTCTAGGATTAAGAAATATAGTATTAAGAAATTTATATTTAATGATATTCGTTTACTTATAATTTTGGTTTTTATTATTTATCAAATAAATCACATTTTATTCACATTACTAATAATTATTTAATTCTATCTTAGTATACAAACATGTGTTTACATGTGTTTATACTTTAGTATTACGATCATTGTTTTTGTATGTTTGTAAAATGGTCACCCTTTCAAATAGTTTTAATTTTATAAATTTAATGAGCGATAAAAATATATTTCTACTCTGTGTGAAACATTCGTAATTCCAATTTATCATACGTGTTCCTGCTTCAGTTGGTATTGAACTAGTTGTATCGAACAACACTTTTTGAATACTCTAATAATTTATAATAATAATTTAGGAGCGGTAATGCTCTTTAGTGTTAAAATATGTAGGTAATTATTCTGAAAGAAATTTGTTTAACTTGTATATACGTGGTGTAAGTACAGTTAGTACGATACTGGCATAATAATGCCTGTATTTATAACTAACCTATAATGATTTATGAACTACGAATGTCAGGCTGTTTAGAGCAATCATAGATTATATATTTTCTGCATTCTCGATATTTCTTACGTCATAACACAGTATTATTATAATAATATGTTTAATCAAGTGTTCAAAAGAGTGTTGTTCGATATGACCAGTATCTTTTTAACTGAAATGGATACACGTATATGCGATTTAAAAAATATTCTATTCAGAGTAGTGACACATATTATCTGGTTCTACAACACCAGCATGCAATGAGCTTAAATGCATTAGAATATTAGTTTTATACGTTAGAAGTGCATGTTATTGTTCTAACAATTTTAAATAGTTTAACCATGTTCTGATTGCCTGATTATAGAAGTCAGTATAATTGAATATTGAAATAATTTTAAATGCCTTACAATCCAAATGAAACAGAAGAAATTTGTACTCAAAATGAATACAATGATTACAAAATGTGTCTAAATAATTTATTATTTTTGAAATTGTGTTACACTAATATTATAGTAAATGACCTACGTGTTAAAAAAAAAAACGAAACTGGACTCATTTTCAGGAAATGTATAAGAATGTCAAAAAACAAACAAAAAGACGTTTCACAGTGGTCCAAGACCAAACTTCCCAAAATCGATGACGGATACAAACAATCTAACGAGTTTGAAAATAGGAATTGCACGGATGCTATGAACTACTTATGTACTTTTTACATAATTAAATTAAATTTCGAATTCCATTCTGCTACAATTATGTACGCTATGTACCGTCCGGAAAATATTTTTTGTGTATCTGAAAACGTATTTGAAATAGAAATAATAGCTATATGAGTGTAAACGTTTTTTTTTTTTTTTGTTTTAATAATTTTAATCGAGTATATTTTTTTTTATTAACCAGTTATATAGTTACAATCATTAGCGTTATATGCTTTCAATTATATACATATATACTTTTAATTTTAGTTAATTTTTTGTTCAATAAATTGCATTGTAATCTTAACACCATTTTTAAGTTTATTCTATATTGGATAATAAACCTAGAAACAAATGTTTTTCTATACTACTATGATAATTGTCTGTGTACACGTTTAGTGTTGGTAAACCGCCTATCGATCAAAGAAATTTCTATTTTTATTGTTGTTTCTAATTAGGTGGAACACTGCAAGAATACATTGCTAACACGATAAAAGTTAGGCATAATTAATTTACATATTTCATTTTTGATTTTGTTAGTACTATATGTAATCCAGTGAAAAATAAACATAAATACATGGAATTTCCATCCAAAAGTTATACTTGTAGTATACTAGTATTCTATAGTACTGGATAACAATGTGAGCTTGCCGAACCACGTTGAAATGAGGTTTTTCACGTCAGCCTTATTCATTTTTGAATTATAAAACATTTATGATGCGATGAGCGTAAACTTTTATTCACTTTGAGCCTCTATATGCAATTATTACCTGACGTTTAAAAAGTGCGATCAAATTATTCAAAAAATTCAAATAGCACCCGAAATTTAATTTTAATTTTAAAAAATCCTGACGGTCGATGCTGACATTCAATCTTGTTTGTATGCATTTATTCGGTAACCGAATATGAGAACGACCACGAAGTTTAAAAAATTGAAGAACCATCGCTACTATTTAATAAGGAATTTGTATTTTTACTAACCTTTTATTCCGATTTTTTAACTCCTATACCTAGAGCTAAGAAATTTATCTTCCTAAATTAGCCTGATAAACTATTTCACACGTGCAAGAACCACAAGAATAGCAACAATAATTTAGCAACTAATGTCCGACATTAAAAGCATTAAATGCCATTGAACCATTATGTCATAAGTTGTGATAAAATGTGTACCTTTTATGAATAGAAACTTTTATAACTCGTTCATACGTGTATCCGTTTCCGTTTAAGATAGTAAGGTTATCGAACAAAATTTTCATTTTTACTCTTTACTATTTATGTTATATTGATTTAGGAGCGCTAATGCTTTATAGTGTTAAAATATGTTGAAATACATTTTCTCAACTCGTATATACGTGTTATTGGTGCAGTCAATATGATACCAGCAAAATTATAGTCGTATTTATAACTAACTATTAATGATTTACGAGCACAAAAGTAAGGCTGTATTGAGCGATAACTAATTATATATTTTCTACGTTCCCGATATTCTTTACGTCATAAATCAGTATGAAGCATAAGTCAACATAGTGTATTTAACCAAGTGTTCAAAAAACTGTTATTCTACATTACTAATATCAAAATAACCGAAATTGGTACACGTATAAACGAGTTATAAAAGATTCTATTTCGGGTGGTTACACATTTAATCTAGTTGAATCCAATGTAATATTAATGTGAAACAAAAAGTTTATTGTAACAATAAAATCTCATATTATATTGAATGGTCAATGATTGTCAATTTTATCCATAGAAAGATTGTTTATGTAACCTACGATTTAGTAAACTGAAATATCGGCCAACATAGGTTTTTCTCTAATATCGCGCTACGCATGTGTCCCATGCTATGGAAAAAATCGCCACAATAACCAATAACCGAGTAGCATGAATTTAGCATAACATTGTTAGCAGATCTTTTCGAAAATATAATTACCAGTATTAAAATGTACTTGCTGTCCAATTGTTGGAGTCCATCTTTAACATCCTTATTCGTTACTCCATGTACTGCTGGCATCACACCTTGTATTGCATTTGTATTAAAACGTCCAAAAACCTTTCAACAGTGTTTAAATTGACTGGTAGTACATCGTTGGAGACTAGTTTGAATCTTTCGCATCCACTCAATTTATATATATTTTGCAATAAACTTTGAAATACGAGAACACACCTGGCATTACAGTTTCATTAAATAATTTTACTACATATTCCAAGTAAAGTTCATAGTAAAACACATGTTACTACGTTTGTAAACTAAGATAGAACTAAATAATTATTGGTAATATGAATAAAATGCGATTTATGTGATAAATAATAAAACTCAAAATTAGAATTAAACACATATAATTAAAAATACATCTTTAAGACTAGATCATCAATTTATAAAAAAAAAAGTACATTACATTCTGTAGTCGTTTACAAAAAACCGTAGCATTATACATTTACTTTGAAAAAAAAATATATTTTTATCGCTCATTAAATTTATGAAATTGAAACTATATTTAAGGATGATATGGTTGAACTCAAAAAAAAAAAAATTAATAAGATGACATATTAAATATGAATAATATTTATCAAAAATATAATAAATATTAATTTGTTAAATTCAAAAAAAAAATTCAACACTAGGTTCACACAAATTATTCTATTGAAGTTTAGGTTACCCCATCAAAATACTCTTAATATTTCATTCCTTTCCTGGTAAACTTGAACCCCGGACTCGGTGTCTAGAACGGCTGGTTCCCAAATCAATGACTACACTTTTAGAACCTGCCTCGGTTTATTTTTGCTCGTTTTTAACTACGCTCATAGGCTTTTTGGTGGATATATCATCAAATATATATTCCGGAGAGTACTGTAAGTACATAGAATAAGCTGAATGGAATTCAAAATTTTTGGCCATAGACTTTTGAACGGTAGACAAAATAGTACTCATGTAGTCCATAGCGTCCATAAAATTCCAATTCACAAACGTGTTAAATCGTTTGTTTACAACATCGTTGTAGGGGATATTAGTTTCGGCTCATACCAAAAAATATTTTTTTTCGAACTGAGGAATGATGTCGTTGATATTTAAATAACCGTTGTCATCAATATTTCGTAATCTTAAATTGATAGTCTTTATGTTATTATTTGATGAGGATTCATTCTGAGATTCTTTATCGGTGTATAAAGGTAAATGGAGATATTCGTAAAATAATTTCGTCCCTTCGTTATACCACCTAACACTATCTCGTACTTTTTATATAACATGAGAACCGATGCTCGTACGTGTGCGTTTTAGGTATAAATGTATGATTAGTGCGTATATGTGAACGTAAGTTTTCATTGTACCGCCTAAATGGTTTACAACCACATTATGAAAACTCCCTATAAAGAACGTGTACAAACCCCACGGTAATATAGCATAATACGCATCTGATAAACTCATATTTACGGTTTTAATCTTTATATATTCCGATTTTATATCGTACATACGTTCATTTTCGATATATTCGGCAAGAAAATATTTACCACTCAACTATTCAAACGTGGTCCACACGTCCATTCCTTTGTTAAATTTTCTGATAGTATCGATTTTATTCACTAAATAATTCAAGTACAAAATTTTACAGTTTTCGTTATTTGAATTTTTGTCTTCATTTTTTCCGGGGACGGCAGTGGTTGTTATTGATATATTTAACGTCCAAATGTTTTTCAACGTTTCCTGTATACAATTAATCTTCTTGCTTTCGAGGTCCTTAATGGATAAAGTACCGTGAAATGCACTGGTGCAACGGATATCACTGTATCCCTTGAAGTATCCGCAAAACGTCAAATACGTGCTGAACATTATAGGGTCGACGTTCAACTCATTTTCTATTAAATAGACAAGAATTATAAGACATATTATGACATATGTACCATAAGTATTTAACATAAAAAGAAAACACTTGTAGAAAAATATTCATTCGGAGAAACCTTAATAAAATTACCTTAAAAACTAATTAACTAACTAATGGTGTATCGGCCTATTACTAAATCATATACATGTTGCCATCGTTCTCTCGAAGATGTCCGCCCAGCGGACCAGATCGGGACTCACTTCATTGATTCGTTTGAGGCACCATCATGAATCATGCCAAGGTACACAACCTTTCCTTGGTGACAAAAATTGGTAAATCCGTGGAATACACGGGGGTATTTGATTAAAAAAACTGTATCTAGAGACCGTCTGGTGACAAAAATCTCGAGACGAGGTCTAGACATGAAGAAGGTAAAGACTCGTAGCCTGTCGCCGCGGGTCGACTTTTTTGGCGATAAGGGAAAGTGTGATATAATGATGTGATTGGCCGTTAATCCGTAGTCAGAAATATATTACTATTGCCTATTAGAATTATATACTTTTCCCCCGAGATGTTTAGCATTTACGTAAATTAGTGTCTTTTCAATATCAATTACAATTATATTGAGTAAAATTAATTGCATTCTTTGTCACAAATTACCAACGTATTATATTAAATTTATCAATGCGAGCCCGGATGAAAAAATTAAAAAATGGACATAATTTTACCAGAAGTATTTTACAAATATCTTTATTTACCTTTATACGCTAATAAAAACGCACAGTAGGAACCCCCCGCCAAATTATTCCATACACTTTCTCATTTCTATAATAAAAATATAGACAACAACGGTAGTATAGGTGACGACGAATTAATTCACTCAAATGAACAATATGACGTTTGCATAATTAAAAGTATACACCGTTAATTTCTGAATATTACATCATCAAATTATAAACTAAAAAAAAATAATATTATTTTGTGGTCTTTTACAAATAACCGTAGCATTATACTTTAACATTGAGTAAAATATATATTTTTATGGTTCATTATGGTTATAAAATTGTAACTATATTTAAGGATAATATGGATGATAAACACGTTAAAAAGATACATTAATTGTTAATAATCTTTGTCAAATTATACAATAAATAGGATAGGAGTGTGATTTTAATTTCAGTAACATATGTGATCCTGTGTTATAATAATTTGATAATCTATTTGTAAAAACACATTTTTGAAAGTGTTGAAGAAGCGATAAAATTCAACAACATTCTGAAGACACTGTACATATTCTGGAAATCAACAATAAATAAGCAAATGCACTTCTAAAAGAAGGATGCGGTTTAAGAAAATCTGAATAGGTGTAACTATGCAAGAAATACTGTAGTCAATAATGCTTTCCTTTTTAAATGTAATATAATAAAACTCTGAGTGTTACTCCTTCTGTCCTCATTCCGTCATGTTAATATACTATATTTGAACGCTCATATGTTTATCATAAATATCATTACGGATTATATATCCAAAAATATACATAAAAAAAAAAGAATATTTAATTAAACTGCGTATTCAAACGTCAAACTTTTAACCCAGAATACTTGAATCGCGATTACGTATTTTTAATTATATCGATCCTAATCGTTCATAGTTTCACTAAGTTTCGATGAAAATAATTATTATCAATGAATTAAACTATTATTTCTGGTTTATGTGATTAAAATTTGTTTGGACCAAAAACATACTCATAAATTATAAAGGTAACTCTGAAGAATAATTGTAATTCTGTTGGTTATCTATATGGTGTGGGGCATTTGAGATTCTTATAGAAGCAAGAAATGTATTTGTTTTACTATGATGTGTTTTTTTTCGTCTTGGTTATCTTAATCACAATCGGACAACCATAATTCAAAATCGAAAAGTTGAACACAGACCGTGGAACCGATATCTGCAAAATGTGTGATTTACCTTAATTGTTTAATAATGTTACAATTATCAAAATAATTACTATTTTGAGTAATAGGATATTATAAAAATAAAACATAATAATTTTTCAAAAAAAGATGTATTATTTTATTAGCGTATGCACTATCTCCATGTGAAACAATATATATTATCAATTTATTATTTTCATGAATATAATGTTGGAGTATTATCAATTAAATATTCATATCAAAATTTTAAATTAGTATTTGTATTTAAGGGGTAAAAAAATGTATTTTTTTTAAATCCAATGTCACTCTCGAAACCAATTTAAATTATTTAATATTATTAACATTAGAAAAATCCGTGGAACGTGATGGTATACTCAATGTACATTACAACTCTAAACGTGGTGCAGCTTTTAAAATAATATGTTGTTTTCCCTGTTATATATCTAGCTAAAGATTTTGGTCGTTCTAGTTTACTTGGTTTTTTTTCGGTTTTAAGTCAATATTTTATTAATTATGTCATCGTTTTGAGTTCAACCTTATAATAGAAATGCGATCAATTTTGTATTTTGAAAATTCGTAACAATTTTCCTGTTTACCTATAAATCATTTTTCATTTACAATGATTTATTATTACACACAGTAGGTAGACATACCATTTCGATTAAATTGTTTATACTATACCACCCAAAATTCCCGCCTACAAAAGGGATTGACGTTTTGAGGTGAATTCAAGGAATACACTGAAATACGTTGCAACAATGTATTTCACAGTACTGCAGCAAATAAGGGTCTCAAAGCCGAGAAAATTAATTGTTTACGGGAGACAGTGAAAAATATTTGGACGTNCTTTTTTTACCTTTATACGCTAATCAAAACGCACAGTAGGAACCCCCACCAACTTATTCCATACACTATCTCATTTCCATAATAAAAAATATAGACAACAACGGTAGTATATGTGTCAACGAATTAATTCACTCAGATGAACAAAATGAAGTTAGCTTAATTAAAATATTCACCGTTAATTTCTGAATATTACATCATCAAATTATAAACTAAAAAAAAATAATATTATTTTGTGGTCTTTTACAAATAACCGTAGCATTATACTTTAACATTGAGTAAAATATATATTTTTATGGTTCATTATGGTTATAAAATTGTAACTATATTTAAGGATAATATGGATGATAAACACGTTAAAAAGATACATTAATTGTTAATAATCTTTGTCAAATTATACAATAAAAAAGATAGGAGTGTGATTTTAATTTCAGTAACATATGTGATCCTGTGTTATAATAATTTGATACTCTATTTGTAAAAACAAATTTTTGAAAGTGTTGAAGAAGCGATAAAATTCAACAACATTCTGAAGACACTGTACATTTTCTGGAAATCAACAATAAATAAGCAAATGCACTTCTAAAAGAAGGATGCGGTTTAAGAAAATCTGAATAGGTGTAACTATGCAAGAAATACTGTAGTCAATAATGCTTTCCTTTTTAAATGTAATATAATAAAACTCTGAGTGTTACTCCTTCTGTCCTCATTTCGTCATGTTAATATACTATATTTGAACGCTCATATGTTTATCATAAATATCATTACGGATTATATATCCAAAAATATTCTTTAAAAAAAAAGAAAATTTAATTAAACTGCATATTCAAACGTCAAACTTTTAACACAGAATACTTAAATCGCGATTACGTATTTTTGATTATATCGATCCTAATCGTTCATAGTTTCACTAAGTTTCGATGAAAATAATTATTATCAATGAATTAAACTATTATTTCTGGTTTATGTGATTAAAATTTGTTTGGACCAAAAACATACTCATAAATTATAAAGGTAACTCTGAAGAATAATTGTAATTCTGTTGGTTATCTATATGGTGTGGGGCATTTGAGATTCTTATAGAAGCAAGAAATGTATTTGTTTTACTATGATGTGTTTTTTTTCGTCTTGGTTATCTTAATCACAATCGGACAACCATAATTCAAAATCGAAAAGTTGAACACAGACCGTGGAACCGATATCTGCAAAATGTGTGATTTACCTTAATTGTTTAATAATGTTACAATTATCAAAATAATTACTATTTTGAGTAATAGGATATTATAAAAATAAAACATAATAATTTTTCAAAAAAAGATGTATTATTTTATTAGCGTATGCACTATCTCCATGTGAAACAATATATATTATCAATTTATTATTTTCATGAATATAATGTTGGAGTATTATCAATTAAATATTCATATCAAAATTTTAAATTAGTATTTGTATTTAAGGGGTAAAAAAATGTATTTTTTTTAAATCCAATGTCACTCTCGAAACCAATTTAAATTATTTAATATTATTAACATTAGAAAAATCCGTGGAACGTGATGGTATACTCAATGTACATTACAACTCTAAACGTGGTGCAGCTTTTAAAATAATATGTTGTTTTCCCTGTTATATATCTAGCTAAAGATTTTGGTCGTTCTAGTTTACTTGGTTTTTTTTCGGTTTTAAGTCAATATTTTATTAATTATGTCATCGTTTTGAGTTCAACCTTATAATAGAAATGCGATCAATTTTGTATTTTGAAAATTCGTAACAATTTTCCTGTTTACCTATAAATCATTTTTCATTTACAATGATTTATTATTACACACAGTAGGTAGACATACCATTTCGATTAANATTTCACAGTACTGCAGCAAATAAGGGTCTCAAAGCCGAGAAAATTAATTGTTTACGGGAGACAGTGAAAAATATTTGGACGTGGAACATATTTATGACCACAATTAAGGTCTCGAAAAAAAATGGAAACAAATATTTAACCAACGAAAATTGTAAAATTTTGTACTTGAATTATTTGGAGAATATCCACAATACCATCAAACAATTTCACAAAGGAATGGGTGTTTGGACCACTTTCGAGTGGTTGAGTGGTAAATATGTTCTTACCGAAAGTTCCCAAAACACCCGTATGCATGATATAAAATCGAAAAATATAAATATAAAGACCGTAAATATGAGTTTATCAGTTGCGTATTATGCTACATTACCGTGGGGTTTGAACACGTTCTCTGTAGGGAATTTTCATAATGTGGTTGTAAACCATTTAGACAGAACAATGAATACTTACGTTTACATTTACGCGCAAATTATAGATTTGTACTTAGAGCGCACAGGCATTACCGTCGAATCTCATGTTTGAAAAAGCATACGAGATAGTATTAGGTGGTATAACGACGGGACAATATTATTTTACAAATATCTGTATTTACCTTCATACACCGATATAGACTTACAAAATGAACCACAACCAACTGATGACATAAAAACTATCATTTTTATAATACAATATATTGACGACAGCGGGAATATAAGTCTCAAAGACATCATTCCAGAGCACGATAAAGATAATTTTTTGGAATGGTCCGAAACTTAACTTCCCAACAACGATGAAGGATACAAACAATTTAACACGTTTATAAACGGGAATTGCATGGATGCTATGGACTTTATGAGTACTTTTTTTTCGAACGTAGGGAAATCTATGGACATGAATTTTGAATACTATTCTGCTACTACTATGTACTCACAGTACTGTCCGGAAAATATGTTTGATATTAAATCCGCCGTCAAGCCTATGAGCGTAGTTAGAGACAAGCAAAATAAAAGAGAGGCCGGTTCTAAAGACGGAGTTATTGGTTCGAGTTCACCTGGAAATAAATCAAATGTTAAGACTCTTTTGATGGGTTTCCTTAAACTTCAATAGAAAAGTTAGTGTGAAACTAGTATTAATTTTTTTTATGAATTTAATAAATTTATATTTGTTATATATTTTGATAAAAATTATTCATATATATGTCCTTTTAACGTGTTTATTGAGTTCATCTATATCACCCTTAAATATAGTTACAATTTTAAAATTTAAATGAATGATACAAATATATTTTTTATGTATAGTTTATGTACAAAATGTAATGTTTTTTTTTTTGTATATAAATTGATGATGTAATGTTAAGAAATAAGCGGTTTATAATTTTAATTATATGTAATTACTTTAAAATTTGGGTTTTATTATTCAAACAATAAATAGCAATACATAAACATAATTCCAAATAATTAGTTCGTTCTAGTTTAGTAATAAACGTAGTGAAATTTGTTTATTATATTATGTAGATAATTGTTTTTCTATATTGAAAAATTTTGTCGATCATTATTTTGTATTTTGATTATTTTCTCTAAATAGGTGAAACACTGCGAGAAAACATTGGTAGTACGATAAAAGTTTCTCTGGTAAATATGTTTTACCTTAGTTACCTTAGTTTCACATTAGATTCAAGTTATTTTTTATATAAAAACAAAATTTCGAAAATAAACTCGGAGAAGCATTCATTTTTGTAGGCGGGAGTTTTGGGAGGTATAGTATAAACAATACAATCGAAATGGTATGCCAACTTACTGTTTGAAATAATAAATCATAGTAAATGAAAAATGATTTATAGGTGAATAAGAAAATTGGTACGAATTTTCACAATACACAATTGATCGCGTTTCTATCATATAGTTGATCTTAAAACGATGACATAATTAATAATATATTCACGTCAAACCGAAAAAAAACCAAGTAAACTAGAACAACCGAAATTTTTAGCTAGATATATAACAGGGAAGACAACATATTCTTAATTAATAATATTAAATATTTTTAAATGGTTTTCGAGAGTGACATTGGTTTTAAAAAAATTATTTTTTTTATCCCTTTAATACAAATACTAATTTAAAATTTTGATTTGAATATTTAATTGTTAATACTCCAACAATATATTCATGAAAATAATAAATGTATAATATATATTATTTCACAAGGTGATAGTGTATACGCTAATAAATTAATCCATTTTTTTTTGAAAAATTAATATGTTCTATTTTCATAATATCCTATTACTCAAAATAGTAATTATTTTGATAATTGTAACATTTTTAAACAATTAAGGTAAATCACACATTTTGCAGACATCGGTTGCACAGTCTGTGTTCAACTTTTCGATTTTGAATTATGGTTGTCCGATTGTGATTAAGATAACCAAGACAAAAAAAAAACACATCATAGTAAAACAAATGCATTTCTTGCTTCTATAAGAATCTCAAATGCCCCACACCATATAGATAACCAACAGAATTACAATTATTCTTCAGAGTTACCTTTTAAATTTATGAGTATGTTTTTGGTCCAAACAAATTTTAATCACATAAACCAGAAATAGTAGTTTAATTCATTGATAATAATTATTTTCATCGAAACTTAGTGAAACTATGAACGATTAGGATCGATATAATCAAAAATACGTAATCGCGATTTAAGTATTCTGTGTTAAAAGTTTGACGTTTGAATATGCAGTTTAATTAAATTTTCTTTTTTTTTAAAGAATATTTTTGGATATATAATCCGTAATGATATTTATGATAAACATATGAGCGTTCACATATAGTTTATTAACATGACGGAATGAGGACAGAAGGAGTAACACTCAGAGTTTTATTATATTACATTTAAAAAGGAAAGCATTATTGACTACAGTATTTCTTGCATAGTTACACCTATTCAGATTTTCTTAAACCGCATCCTTCTTTTAGAAGTGCATTTGCTTATTTATTGTTGATTTCCAGAAAATGTACAGTGTCTTCAGAATGTTGTTGAATTTTATCGCTTCTTCAACACTTTCAAAAATTTGTTTTTACAAATAGAGTATCAAATTATTATAACACAGGATCACATATGTTACTGAAATTAAAATCACACTCCTATCTTTTTTATTGTATAATTTGACAAAGATTATTAACAATTAATATATCTTTTTAACGTGTTTTTTGAGTTCATCCATATCATCCTTAAATATAGTTACAATTTTATAACTATAATGAACCATAAAAATATATATTATACTCAATGTTAAAGTATAATGCTACGGTTATTTGTAAATGACTACAAAATAATATTATTTTTTTTTAGTTTATAATTTGATGATGTAATATTCAGAAATTAACGGTGTATACTTTTAATTATGCAAACGTCATATTGTTCATTTGAGTGAATTAATTCGTCGTCACCTATACTACCGTTGTTGTCTATATTTTTATTATAGAAATGAGAAAGTGTNTCGTCTGAGTTACCTTTTAAATTTATGAATTTCGGTCCAAAAAAATTTTAATCACATAAACCAGAATAAGTACTTAAATTTAGTGATAATAATTATTTTCATCGAAACTTAGTGAAAACTATGAACGATTAGGGTCGATATAATCAAAAATACACTAATCGCGATTCTAGTATTCTGGGTTAAGTGTTTAACGTTTGAATACGCAGTTTAATTAAATTTTCTTATATTTTAAGTATATATCAAATATATAATCCGTAATGATATTTATGATAAACATATGAGCGTTCACATATAGTTTATTAACATGACGGAATGAGGACAGAAGCAGTAACACTCAACAACATTAGCCTATGAAGGTAAATAAAGATATTTGTAAAATAATTCTGTTAAAATTCTGTCCATTTTTTAATTTTATCATCCGGGCTCGCATTGATAAATTTAATATAATACGTTGGTAATGTGTGACAAAGAATGAAATGAATTTTACTCAATATAATTGTATTAGATAATGAAGAGACATTAATTTACGTGAAATCCAAAAATCTCGGGAGAAATGTACAAACCGTTTGTAACGCCCAAAAACGACTGTTTCCCGTTATCAAAGGACAAGCATACCTACCATCGACGGATATGTTAATTCATCATAAACAATAATTCCCCCCGCGTAAAAGTTTATGCGATTGAAATCTGTTGCATTTCGCAATAATAATATATTTCTGACTACGAATTAACGGCCAATCACATCATTATATCACGCTTCCCCTTATCGCCAAAAACCTCGACCTGCGGGGACATGCTACGAGCGTCTCCGCGCTCCGCTACCCAGTTGTTCTGTGCGTTCTTTACCTTCTTCATGTCTAGACCTCGTCTCGAGATTTTTGTCACCGGACGGTCTCTAGATTCAGTTCTTTTAATCGAATACCCCCGTGTATTACACGGATTCACCAATTTTTGTCGCCAAGGAAAGGTTGTGTACCTTGGCATGATTCATGATGGTGCCTCGAACGAATCAATGAAATGAGTCCCGATCTGGTCCTCTGGGCGGACTTCTTCGGTAGAACGATGGCAATATGTATATGATTTAGTAATTGGCCGATACCCCATAAGTTAGTAAATTAGTTTTTAAGGTAATTTAATTAAGGTTTCTCCGTATGAATATGTTTATACAAATGTTTCTTTTTATGTTAAATACCTCTAAAATACTTATGGGAATCAACCAGCTACATTTGTGTCCGGCTCACTACCCCGTGTTCCATATCCTAAGTGCGATAAGCCAAAAACCCCCGGATTTTATGGTTTTCTCTTATTTTTCATCCCCTCTAAGTGCTAGGTTTCGCATCCACGTGTGTGAGCATCTAAGAATGGAATATATATATATATATATAAAGATCGATTTTCCCCATTTCGCAAACCAAATTCGGACGCACCCCGCAAGTTCATCCGTAGGGCCACCGAATCTACGGACCAGTCAAGATGGAACAATAATCGTTTCCGCCACTCTTCCCGGCGGTTATCTGTGAGACCTGACAACCGCACAATCCTGTCGGGATCTCCGCAATACCTAAGGAGCCTACGAAAGTTCCAAGTGGGGGTTTATTTCGGTCTAAACTCATATCGGTCAGCACACACAAGTGGATGTGGATTCATCATTACCAATAAATATTAATAAGTCCCTGACTCCAATATATCACAAACAACATATTTACGACTGGTTGATGCCTCAGTTAATGTACAGGTATTTTAAAACAAAAATTGTTTGTAGATATTTATTTATATATGTCCTATATATAAATATGTCAATTTAAGAATCATATTATTCATCCTTTCATAGGGTCAGTTTTTATGCCCAGTGCTTTTTTGTTGCATTAACTTAAGTTTTACTTTTAATTGATAAATTAATAAAATAATTCAATAATTTCTATTTATTTAAATTCTTTTATTCCCTTCCCTCCTCAAAAAAATGATAGAACTCCGGTATTCGGCCCTCGGTAGTAGGTTGACGAAAATCATATTAGGCGGGTCGTCAGCTGTGCGCTCGGGTGTGGCCTCAAACACAGCTGACCGAACCAGAATGTCTCACATTCTTTTTAATTTCTTAAAATTGAGTTCCTTTCGTTTCTTTTCTTAACACGTGAGTCATTTCCTATAAAATTAGCGTAACACAATAAAAGAAGTGATAAATTAATTAGGTACATTCTGAAAGTATAGTATTCATTTTGATAATAATTTCCTCTACTTCATTAGGATTGTAAAGTTTTTGACATAAGTTCAATATTTAAATAAATCGTCATCTAAAATCAGGCAATCTGACCATTGTTTTAACTATTTAAAATTGTAGGAACAATAGCGTGCAATTCTAACGTATAAAACAATAATTTTAATGCATTTATGTTCAATGTACGCTGGTGTTGTAGAACCAGATAATATGTGTCATTACTCTGAATAGAATATATTTTAAATCGTATATACGTGTAGCCATTTCAGTTAATACGATACAAGTAATATCGAACAACACACTTTTGAACACTTGATTAAACATATTATTGTAATAATTCTGTGTTTTGACGTAAGAAATATCAGGAACGTAAAAAATATATAATCTATGATTGCTCTAAACAGCCTGACATTTGTGCTCATTAATCATTATAAGTTAGTTTTAAATAACAGCATTATTATGCCAGTATAATACAAATTGCATTTATAACAAGTATTTACAAATTGAAAAAATATCTTTCAGAATAAGTACCTACATATTAGAAGGAGTAACAATCATTACCGCTCTTAAATTTTTATTATAAATTATTAGAGTATTCAAAAAGTGTTGTTTGATTCCACTAGTAACAAACAAACTCAAACAGGAACACGTATGGTAAATTAGAGTTACAACAATTTTATTCAGAGTTGATATACATTTTTTCTGATCCTGCATCACCAAAGTACAATGAAATTAAATGCTTTAAAAGTGTTGTTTTATACGTTTATAATACATGTAATGATTCCAGATATTCAAAGTAATGATTCAACTACGTTTAGTAAAAATTCTGATAGCAGTAATTTTAATAATATTGTAGATAATTTTCAAAAGAAATATAAACTTGAAGGTGCAACAGAAATTATTAATCAATCTAAGGACGATATATTCGGAAAAGTCTCTATAGAGTTTATCAAATTTGAAATCAATTTACTTCTAATATTACAGCAGATGGTCTACGTCTTTGATGAAAGAAATGACACCACACTCATTCACGCGGACTATTTTATAACGATCTGTACATATCTCCCGAGATGTTTGGATTTCATCAATGTTAATGTAATTCAGGATTCAATAACAATTATGTTGAGCAATATTTATGTAGTTCTATGTTATTCATTACCAACATATCTGAAGACATATATCAATGCGTTACCGAATCATATAGAAAGTGAACGTTTTAATGAGAAAATTGCAAATGATTTGTCAAATATATTATCAATAACAAAAGAAAAAACAAAAATACGTAAAAACCTGTTTCATCAAAAAAACTATAAGATGGACAGTCAGAATTTTATTACAGATGTTTACAAGATCATTGGTAATATCGATTTTATATCATGTATGAGTAAAAATCTCGATAATATATCTCAGTATTATATGGCACATAACTCGAATACTAAAGAAATAAAATTCAAGGGGACTAAAGTAAGTACCAGAGACAAAGAAAAACAAATTAATTCTGGAAACAATATTCAATTTCTGCAACTCAATAGAAATTATACAAATGATCTACGGAACGAATGCGGTTTATCAAGTTTTGACATTCAGTCAAAAGATTTGTCAAAGCTCGAAACAATGCAAGAAATTGTTTTTTATACATTAAAGAAACTCCAACAATATTGTACAAATACTATATTAAATAGTACAAAGACGAATTCAATAGCAACCGAAAACGACTTAAAGAACACGATTGATATTATGGACACGTTACGAGACATATGTCAAAATATGTCTTCTATTCTTGTCTTTTTTATAGAAAATGAGGTTAACGACGACTCTATAACTTTCAGCACGTATTTGCCGTTTTGCGGAGACTTCAAGGGATACAGTGATATCCGTTGCACCAGTGCATTTCACGGTACTTCATCCATTAAGGACCTCAAAGACCAGAAGATTAATTGTATACAAGAAACGTTAAAAAACATTTGGACGTGGAATATATTAATGACAACCACTGAGGTCCCCCAAAAAAATGAAGACAAGAATTTAAAAAATGTAAAGTGTAAATTTCTGTACCTGAATTATTTAGTGAATATCAACAATACTATCAGAAAATTGTACAAAGGAATGGACGTGTGGACCACGTTTGAGTGGTTGAGTGGTAAATATTTTCTTGCCGAAAATATCGAAAACGACCGTATGTACGAAATAAAATCGAATTATATAGATATTAAAAACGTAAATATTAAATTATCGGTTGCGTATTATGCTGCATTACCATGGGGTTTGAACATGTCCTCTATAGGGACTTTCCATAACGTGATTGTAAACAATGTAGAACAATTTATGAATGCTTACGTTTACATATACGCACTAATCGTNCATGTTATACAAAAAGTACGAGATAGTGTTAGGTGGTATAACGAAGGGACGAAATTATTTTACAAATATCTCCACTTACCTTTATTCATCGTTAAAGACCCTCAGAATGAATCCCTATCAAATGATAACATAAAGACTATAATTTATAGAATACAAAATATTGACGACAACGGTTATTTAAATATCAACGACATCATTCCTGATTACGAAAAAAACTATTTTTTAATTTGGGCCGATTCTAATATCCCCAACAACGATGATGGAAACAATCAATTTAACAAGCTTTTAAATGGGAATTGTATGGGCGCTATGGACTACATGAGTACTTTCTTGTCAATCGTTCAAAAGTCTATGGACATAAATTCCGAATTCCATTCAGCTACCTCTATGTACTCACAGTACTGTCCGGAAAATATATTTGATGTTATATCCACCAAAAAGCCTATGACAGTAGTTAGAGACAAGATGGGAAATACAAAGTCATATGTGAAGACTAAGAGCGTAAATGAAGACAAGCAAATAAATAAAGAGGACGATGAAAAGACTATGAGCGAAGATGAAGACGAGCAAATAAGTACAGAGACCGGTTCTGAAAGTGTCAAAGTCATTGGTTCGAGTTCACCTGAAACTACATCAACATTTAAGACTGTTTTGATGAGTTTCCTTAAATTTTGGTGAACGTAGTGTTGAATTTTTTTTATGAATTTAACAAATTTTTATTTATTATATTTTTGATAAAAATTGTTCATATTTAATACGTCATCGAATTAAATTTTTTTTTAAGTTCAACCATATAATACTTTGATGTAAATTCAATGTCATAAATTTAATGAGCGATAAGAATAGATTTTGTTTGCAAAGTAAATTTATAATGCTACGGTTATTTATAAATGACTACAAAATGTAATGTACTTTTTTTGTTTATTTATTGATGATCCAGTATTAAAAAATAAGCGGTTTTTGTTTTTAATTATATGTGTTTACTTCTAATTTTGGGTTTTGTTATATATCAAATAAATCGCATTTTATTCACATTACCAATAATTATTTAATTCTATCATAGTTTACAAATGTAATAACATGTGTTTTACTATAGTTTTACGATCATTGTTTTTGTATATTTGTAAAATGGTGTCGGTAATTTTTTTTAATTTGATTTTTTTGATGTATTTTATTATTTGATTATTATATTAAAATCACACTTATCTACTTGGAATATGTAGTAAATTAATTAAATTGTGTGGCCGCGAAAAACTCAAACTAGTTTCCAACAATGTCCTAAATGTCAATTTAAACACTGTAAAAAGGTTTTTGGACGTTTTAATACAAATGCAATACATGGTGTGATGCCAGCAATACATGGTTTTACGAAAAAGGATGTTAAAGATGGACTCAAACTATTGGACAGCAAGTACATTTTAATACTGGTAATTATATTTTCGAAAAGTTCTGCTAACAATTTTATGCTAAATTCATGCTACTCGGTTAATGGTTTTGTGGCGTTTTTTTCCATAGCATGGGATACGCGTAGCGCGATATTAGAGAAACACTTATGTTGGCCGATATTTCAGTTTACTAAATCTTAGGTTACATAAACGATATTTCTATAGATAAAATTGACAATCATTGGCCATTCAATATAACATGAGATTTTATTGTTACAATAAACTTTTTGTTTCACATTAATATTACATTGGATTCAACTAGATAAAATGTGTAACTACCCGAAATAGAATCTTTTAAAACTCGTATATACGTGTACCAATTTCGGTTATTATGATATTAGTAATTAAGAATAACAGTTTGAACACATGATTAAATACACTATGTTGACTTATGCTTCATACTGATTTATGACGTAATGAATATCGGGAACCTAGAAAATATATAAATTAATTATCGCTCAATACAGCCTTCCTTTTGCGCTCGTAAATCATTAAAAGTTAGTTATAGATACCAGCATAATTTTGCTAGTATCATCTTGACTGCAACAATAACACGTAAATATTAGTTGAGAAAATTTCTTTCAGAATAGGTACCTACATATTTTAACACTATAAAGCATTAGCACTCCTAAATTAATATAACATAAATAGTTCAGAGTTAAAATAAAATTTTTTTTCGATAATCCAACTATCTAAAACCGAAACGGACACACGTATAAACGAGTTATAAAAGTTTCTATTCATAAATTTATCACAACTCACGACATAACGTATCAATGGCATTTAATGATTTAAAATAATGGTTTTGTACGTTAGTAGTCATTGTTATTGTTCTTGATGTTTCAAATAAAGTTGCAGCAGATCGCAGATTAACTACTGATAGAAGTTAGTTTAATAATATCGTAAACGAATTTCAAAAGAAATATAATCTCCAAAAGGAACAGAAATTATAACTCAGCATCAAAACAAAAATGTCGGCCATGTACCTGAAGAATTTATCACTTTTGAAATCGATTTACGTCTATTATTATAGCAGCTGGCCTACATGTTTGATATAGGAAAAAAATCTGGACTTATACATGGGGAATATTTTTTAACGATCTGTGAATTTCTCCCGAGATGCTTGGATTTTATTAATACTAATGTCTTTCAGAATACACAAACCGTTCTGTTAAATAAAATTCATATAGTTCTTTGTTATTCATTAACAACTTATTTCAAGACATATATCAATGCGTCACCTGATAATAGAGAAAATGAAAATTTTGATAAAACAATTGAGAGAAATTTGGCCTCTATAGTATCAATGACTGAAATTAAGACAAATATAAGTGACAAACTGTTTCAGCAGCCATACTACAAAAATGACAGTATACATTTTATTTCAAATGTTTACGAAACCATTGGTAATACCGACTTTATATCATGCATGAGTGAAAATCTCTAATTGAATTCCTCGAAGTGCTAGATTTCGCATACACGAGTTTGAGCATCTAAGAATAGAAAATGTATAGATATAAATATATCGATTTTCCCCATTTCGCAATCCAGATTCGGACGCACCCCGAAAGTTCACCCCTAGGGCCACCGAAACTATGGACCAGTCAAGAAGGAACAAAAATCGTTTCCGCCAATCTTCCCAGCGGTAAACTGTGAGACCTAACAACCGCACAGTCCTGCCAGGATCTTCACAATACCTAAGGAACCTACGAAAGTTCCACGTGGGGGTTTATCTCGGTCGAAACCCATATCGGTGAGCACACACTCGTGGATGTGGATTCGTCCTTACCAATAAATATTAATAAGTCCCGACCTGCACGTTCACCGTTATGTCACTAACAACATTTTTACAACTGGTTGATGCCTCAGTTAATGTACAGGTAATTTAAAACAAAATTTGTTTGTAGATATTTATATATATATGACAATTTCAGAATCATACCTATTATTCATCCTTTCAAAGGGTCAGTTTTTATGCCCAGTGCTTTTTTGTTGCATATACTTAACTTTTACTTTTAATGATAAATTAATAAAATAATTCAATATTTTCCCCGAGAAAACACGAGATTATTTATTAAAATTCTCCTTTTTTCCCTTCCCACCTCACAAAAATGCTAGAACTCCGGTCTTCGGCCCTCGGTGCTAGGTTGACGAAAATCATACTAGGCGAGTCGTCAGCTGTGCGCTCAGGTCGGGCCTCAAACACAGCTGACCGAACCAGAGTGTCTCACGTTCCTATAAATTTCAAAAATCAGGCAATCTGACCGTTGTTTTAACTATTTAAAATTGTAGGAACAATAGCATGCACTTCTAAAGTGTAAAACAATAATTTTAATGCATTTTTGTTCATTGTACGCTGGTGTTGTAGAACCAGAAAATATGTGACACTACTCTGAATACAATATATTTTAAATCGTATATACGTGTAACCATTTCAGTTAATAAGATACAAGTAATATCGAACAACACACTTTTGAACACTTGATTAAATATATTAAAATAATAATACTGTGTTATGACGTAAGAAATATCAGGAACGTAGAAAATATATAATCTATGATTGCTCTAAACAGCCTGACATTCGTGCTCATTAATCATTATAAGTTAGTTATAAATACAAGCATTATTATGCCAGTATAATACCAATTTCACTTATAACAAGTATTTACAAATTGAAAAAATATCTTTCAGAATAAGTACCTACATATTAGAAGGAGTAACAATCATTACCGCTCTTAAATTAATATTATAAATTATTAGAGAATTCAAAAAGTGTTATTTGATTCCACTAGTAACAAACAAACTCAAACAGGAACACGTATGGTAAATTAGAGTTACAACAATTTTATTCAAAGTAAATATACATTTTTTCTGATCCTACATCACCAGCGTAAAATGAATTTAAGTGCTTTAAAAATGTTGTTTTATACGTTAATAGTGCATGTTATTGGTCCAGATATTCAAAGAAAAGTTTCAACAATGTTGGGAATAATTTCTGATAGAAGTAAGTTTCAAAAAATCGTAGAAGATTTTAAAATAAAATATGATCTACTAGA